AAATACAAGATTCTCCAGTTGATATTTCCTGGTCTAGATCAGAAATCTAGCTGTTGATATTGTTGGTTAATGGTAGATAAAGAGCTGCAATCAAACAACAACTTAAAAAGATAGATGCAATTTTATTTGGGTTGGAAGCAATTTATGTTGTAATAATTGGACGATCTTGGATAAGAATTAATTCCAATTAGTGTAGCACTATAAAAGTGAAAACTTATCAGGTCGGCACCCTATTAGGATTGGAAGATACAGTCATTTTGTGGTATTTACAATCTTCACAAGAACGGTTTGTGATGTGAGTTGACAGCGAAGAAACAGTTTTACAATTCATCTTGGATGCAGGTTTGTTGCTTATCATTATAAGTGTTGTTTGTGTTGGCTCTTGACTCAGGTTTCTGCTTGGGTTCTTGTACCGGCCATCACGAGTGATGGTCTTGATCGTTGAAAAGGTTTCAATTGGTTTTCTCCTGTTCAGGTGTTAAGGTGATCTAGTATGACGTCAACAGTGCCGCTGGTTAATTATCAAAATCCTCGCTCTTGTCTGGCTCGTTTGACTGCTGCTGCATCTGTTCCATTTGAGGTGGTCTGCGACGGGGTCGGATTGAGCTCTTGGATTGGTACCAAGCTGCCAACTTCGTTGTTGTTGTTTGTAGCGGTGTTGTTCATCGATTCGATGTCCTTGCCGTTCTAGATTGTTTTCTTTTTTATTTTTGCTAATATACTACTTGACTCGGTATCGCTTCTCTTCAGCGATTGTGATCAGATATGTTTATTAGATGATTAATTCTTTGCGCTGGTTCACTAGCGCGATCGATGCAGCGACTGTAGTTTGTCAACCAGTAATAAGGGCTGGATCAGAAGAGTAAAAGCAAAGCGTTATTAGTGTTGCGATGAAAGAATATATATATATGTATATGTATATTTGATTAATTCAAGTTGAAGTGATGAAACAAGGAGGATTTAAGGGAAACAATTTCTTTATTTTTCTTTATTTTTATTTTCTATTGTTGAATACCCGAAGAAGAAGACGAATTGAGTCAAGGGAAATGAAGAAGTCGGGCTAGTCGTATGATTCCTCTGATATGATGAGGGAGGTGTACGGGTATGGGAAGCGATGAGGCCCCCAATTGTCAGCTGTTGATCTCGCGTAGAGGTCTGGCTGGACAAGATTGGGGGTAGTAATAAATATATTACTATGGTAAAGATAAAAAACTAAATACAAGAGGAAGGGAAAGATAAAAAGAAGGATAAAAAGTTGTTTCTTTTATTTAACTTGTTTGAATTCTATTGTTCTATAAGAACATGGTTAAGCCTGCACAAAAACGCCTAGGCCTCTATTCCTAAAGGTAAGAATAGGATGCAATCAGATAGATGTGATTGTGATGATTTTTCATCGGTCAAGAGACTCGATCGGGTTGTTAACATCAAACCCAGTTATATTAATTCATTTTTGATTCTTGATTCATTTTATTATCATTTGTTATAGATTTTATTTCAGTTTAATACTACTGATTCTTTATGAGTCTGATGATAGTGTAGAGACATTAACTTGATCGATTAGGGGCTTTCAGTATTTTACTAAGAAGGTAAGGTTATCAGATTCAATCTCAACCATATCTAATTCAGGAATACTAGTCCAAATGTAATAAAATTCTTAGATAAATAAAGACCTCAAGGGTATATAAATACCATTGCTGAGTTTATCTAAGTAAGTAAAGTCTTACTACTGTTTTGAATGAGTATTTCAAAAATAAGATATAATATTTTGATTGGTTCTTTTTTCCGAGGGAGAAAGATTCAATCCAACATGAAGTAGTTTTTATATCCAAGCTGGACATCCATTTTCATGTGTACTCTATAATCAAGCATTGTAATCATACATGAATATAGTTTCTTTTTGTGTTTATTCTGGGTTACATGTTGCTTACTTCACTTAGTTAGTATTTCAAACAATCCTGTCAAATTATGTTTCTCATTTATCATCTAACTAAAACTGTGTCATTTTAAATCATTCATTATGCACATTTCCTTCTAACTAACAATTCCATTATTCCAATGCATTTTGTACACTGGTTTTGAGACCTTTTGGACACACCAGAGTGTCTCTAAGGTTGACACATGATGTGGGTGATGGGTGAAGGCCGTTTGGTGCGTCTGGGACTCACTTGCTCTCCTCCTCCTCCTGCGGCTGGCTCTTCAAAGTTCGGGCCATTCGACGTGATTCGCGAATCCTTATCCCTGGGCCAACACCAACGGCGCACTATGTACAGTTCTACAAGATACATAACGGACTTGAAGGGACTTGCATCCAGCTAGAAGGTGTCGCTGGGATTCTGTATCGATTGAACATACAGTGTGCTGTATGGCCTCTCAACCGTCGTTCTGGACCAAGTCAGCCCTGTGTGATCGACCTGACCATGCTCACTAAGCCTGTCTGGCACTGCCACCATGACAATACTCCCAAACAGAGTCGAAGGTTGGTGGCCGGTTTGTTTGGGTTAATGTGGAGGATCGATGAGACATGCTTGAAGCCGGTGGGTGGATGGGGATGTCTGTCAGTGTGGTTCCCTAAACCATGTACAATTCCTTTACTATTTCTGATCGAGTTTGTAGAATGATGAGGTTTAAAGCGATTGGGGACATTCAGGGGCTTCGTCCGGACAAACCCTGCCGAGTGTACAGCCAATCCAGAAAAGGATGGCATTCCCTCCTCAAATGCACTAGCTCGCTTGTGTGCAGATACTACGACTTCATGAGCCAGTAAGGTTTTGGTTTGAGCTAGAAGCTCTTATTCTCCTTCAATCCAGCAGGGCACTTAACCTTACCCAGATCACGAATAGGATGAATCTGCACAAGCGAGCTGGTGCTTTGAGGAGAAGATGCCATCCTTTTCTGGATTGGCTGTATGTCGCTCGTTCGCTTTCTTTCTTTCCCCACAACTCCAAGACAATCCAATAGCAGGAAAAAGTGTATCATCAAGCAGTTCATTCTCTTGGGTGTGTTAAGCTTGTGAGAACCAGCTCGAGGGCGAGTCTGATCGAAATTGAACGGGCGATGTGGTTCGTTCGGGTCCCACCCGAGATGGACATACATCCTTGGCAGTCTCCCAGCCTAAACCCATCCCTGTCACCCTGTCCTCTCTCATCGACTCAACTGCATAGCACTGCTGATCGCCCTCACCCCCCCCCCCCTTTGAATAATAATATTTCCAGCCAAAGTCTATCCGACTGGCAACAGCCCACGCTAAACACTTAAAACACACCAAAGCAGAAAAAAACACTCACCCAACAACCAACACAAACAACACCGTCGACTCGCTTTGCCACTCGCAACCAGTCTTGTCAATTTTGGGCACACCTCAAGCCTCGTCGTGTTGTTGTATGTAGCAACAGCCTGACTAAACAAATGACAGCAACAAGATCCTTGGCGGGTGGGCTCAATATCCCCTTTTTTTGTATGAATCATTTTTTTTACATATTGAAAAAAACACTAACAATCAAAAAAAGAACATGAACAGAAAGAGGGCCAAAGAAAGATTCCAAACACCAACAAGCTTCGGAGATGAATGGCTGGCGAGTCAGATATGCTGTATATCAATTCAGTTGTATTATAGCTATTACAGACTCTGATGTCACTCCCTTCCCCCTCCCCTCCCCTCCCCTCCCCTCTCCCTCGGGACTGAATTGAATTCAAAAATAGGCTATGTCCATACACACACACACTCGATCCTCATCATATCAGCCTACAACTCCATAGACCTCCAGAGTAAGTGACTACCATCCCGACTAAACTTCACTCAAGAGAACGACAACCAAGCCAACCATCACAACCAACCCAACAACTGAAGCCTGTCAACACCAACGGCTGTTGTCTTATAAACAAGAAAGGCCGATTGCTGCTTAATTTTGTACACACCCCACCCAGGGCCAGAGACACCAAATCATCCGAAATACACACTCACACACTCTTCAACATACTCACACGTTACTACCCTATTGTATATTGATTGATTGATTTTACTCTTCTTTTTTTTTTTTTTCCTTGCCATTTCTTTTCCTTGCTCTTTTTTTACATATTATTTATTAAAAAACTTCCTCTGCCTATCTAAATACATAAGCCCGCATCTATTCGCCGGCGTCAGCAGCAACGGCAGCAGCAGTCAGA